CTTCTACTCCTTCTCCTGTAACAGCACCAGTTCTGTATGGTCACCTTGTAACCTGGTGGGGTGAAGAGATGTGGGGCAATAAACCTCGATAAATCTCCCTCCAGTCTCCAGAAGCACTCCCAAGCACCCTCACCCTGGGGGCATAGCCAGAAGCCGGTGAAAGGAGTTAGCCTGCCAGTGCTCCTGGGGAGCACCTTGCACCTCACCAGCTGGGAGCTACTGCTGTATGAGGAGGCCTTTGGCACCCACAGCCTGCAGAGGCAAGCTGGCTCGCTCTTCTGGACTCCCTCTCAAAAGGACGATGTGTAAAGTGTTACTGGCAGACTTGCTGCACTGCAGTTCCAGTCAAGTTACAGGCTATCTTTTTTTTTCTTATTGCCTGCACAACCCAGGAAATACGCAGCTCTGATTAGGAAAGCTTTAACTTCTCGTTTTCTCTAACGCAACCTTACGTTTCAGATTAGTTACATGCACAAGTCAAATACGATGTTCTGGGTACCATCATTCATCTCTCGTTTGCTTCAACGAGCTAAGCACAGGACAGGGAAAATAAAAACTGACAACAAGCTTTTCTATCTTGTCATATTTTACACTACCTGCTGTCTTCTCTCAGGAAGGCAGAAAAACTATATTCCAGAACACCGCCCTAAGAAAAAGGTCATGTCTACATTGCAGAGGGACCAGAGAAAACCATAAGCTCAGGCAACTAACATCTGCAGAGACTGGCTGAGCTACAGCCAAGCCATTTTCAGACTGACACCAGTGTCGGTGCCCACTACCTACCCCATAGTCTCCTCTACAGGAGAGATGTCCCATTATAGGTGTATGGGAAATGTCTGCACGAGCAAGCTTCGTGGCTGGATGAGCAAGTTTCTCTGAAATAACGCAACACGTGGGTTTAAGCTGCATTGACTACGCAACACTGCTAGCTCCGTTTGAGACGCACAGGAGCTCATCCATCAAGAAAAGTAAATTCACATTAGGTAAGAAAAAGAGATTCCCAAAGCTGAGCTAACATTGCCCACGTTACATGCATACTGTCAGACCCATCAGTTGTTCCCCTTTGCTGACACAAAGAAACTGCCCAGAAAAGACACATAACTACTTGGGCACAGCAGACCAGCATCTGCTGAGGAATTAAGCATTCATCTTCTTGCAATCTGCTCCCAATAGCTGCATTGAATTACATTTTGACATTTTTGTCTACTACTAAACAAGCAATTTCAAATAGAAATACACACCCTGTCTGTAAGTACAAGACTTAAAATTAAAACTAAGAAGGAAGCAGAAACATATGCAAAAATACCCAGGAGGTGTTAAATGCTGCAACAAATAATTTAGCTTTTAGGCAGACCTTACATTTGTCCTTTTATTAACCTATAACCGCACAGAGCTTCTGGTCACACCTTCTAAATCTCAACGAGCATTCAGTCAAACCCAACTTACTACCACAAGCAGCTCCCGTTGGTATGACAAATCCTATTGCGTCAGTGAGACAGCACTAAGAGCTATGCTGACAGAGTTGTGGTGTTTGAAGGACCAGATCTTTTTTGCACATGGGGCTACATTTTCAAAGACACATGAATTAACGTGTGGCTCCCCTTATAATGACTCTTATCACTGAAATGTCTGCAACACTACATAAAAGACTTATCTGTTGCTTTCACTAAATGAAAAAAAACATGGTACTTGCTAAAGCCTTGCTCGCTACACCACCAGGCATGGGAGGCAGTCACTCACCGCACCCCGCCACCCCCTTCTCTGCAATTCTGTTTTATCAGAACAACCATCCGACTTTGGGCTCCTTTCCTACAGATCTGACATCGCGCACCTTTGCTGTGTCGGGAGCCTGGCACACAATCTCTCTCTCACAGGCTGAAAAACACAGTTTATCTTTTCTGAATCAGGATCAAAGGAGAGAAAACTAAATGAACTCTGGTGTCCACCCAGCATCCCTCACTGGCACGCAGGCAGCGGGAGAGTGCATCGGAGACCAGTCTGCTGCCTCCTCCCCCGTGCCTATATTCTGTTGAAGACTTGTTTTCTAATGAGCCATCGTGAGTGCTCGCTCCTTCCTAAAAACTACTTTTCAGAAGTACTCCAGTAATACTTGGAGGCTGCTGCTCAAAGCCAGTCCAGATTCCTTCTATTAACGGGTAGCTCACCATCCCTTTCAACTAAACCCGGCACAGTACCGCGCCATGCTTTCAGCACAGATCACTCCCGATGCCGAAGCCGCAACTGCCCTACGGTCCGGTGGGAGAGCCGCAGCCCGACGCCGGCGGACCGCGGCCACCTCTGCAGCCGGAGGGTCCGCTCCGCTGTCCAGCCGCTCGCCGGCGGACACCTTTCATCGCCGCAACTCGTTAACGGATGACAGGACCCCGTTTCATCGCTGCAACCCGGGAACGCACCCCAGGACCCCGACGAAATGGCTGGAGGCTCCGATTTTTAAATTTCCTGCCGAGGGGACGTTACGCTGCTCTGCGCGGCCCCCGGAGCAGACCTAAATCACGTATTCAGCCCGGTATTACTTAACGTATACACGCAGTGTGTAAGGACCGGCGCTGGAGGCCGGCGGACCAGAGGGAGGCGAGGTGCGAGCGGGAGCCCACCTCCCGCTTCCGACCGGCGCCAACGGCTCCACCAGACGCCGCTGCGGGA